ATCAGAAATCAGTTTACGTTTACGGCGATGTGTCAAGTCAATATCACCAAATTCACTAAAAACAGATTCTGAAGAGATTATCGCACACTTTTATAAACAGAATGCGCAAAAAATAACAATATGGCAGAATGTTTATTAATTAATTATTAATATTAAAAAAATATGGATTTCGATTTTATTTATAAAAATAAATGATTTTAGATATAACTTTTTTTAAAAAATTTTTAACATTTTATTTTTGTTAAAGATGCCATTTTATATCGAATCTGATGGGCAAATTAGAAGTCACTAGTTTGTCTAGGACTACCACTAATGACAATATAAAGATGTTTATGATTGACTTATTTTTTTAATTATATGACAGATTTAAGTGACAACAAGTACTTCCAGTTCCAGGTGATATACGTGATATAGATGAACCCTAATTAATTTAACATATTTGACGATTTATTTATATTTATTTACTTAGAATTAACACCTATATATAAAAAAAATTCAAAAATCTAAAAATAAAACGTGAAAGGATAATAGATACCCCGTATGTTTTTCATAAACTTAAATTTTCATTTTTTTAAATTTCGCATTAATTAAAAACAAAATGATTTTTTTCTTAAATATTAATTTTTACCTTATAAATATATGTAAAGAATAAAATTACGTTAAAACATTTTAGAAAAATTGCTTTGTCCATTTTTTATAGCACTTCAATTTTTTATGGACAAATTTTTCCCGAGTATGACCAAGAATATTAACATTGGGGTTACGAGTACAAATATATTTATTTTCAAAATTTTATTATAATAAAAAATATATACAATAATAAAAAATGAATACTTTCAATCTAAAGAACCCATATATCGATATTTTGTTATGATAAATTATTCCTGACCCCCCCAAGACCTAGACCCGCCCTCTATCAGTGATTATTATTATTACAATAAAAAAATATTTAATTATCAACTTGTTCATTAAATCGTTACACGACACGACCTCGGGTCTGAACCCCGAGTCTGGACCTAGGGTCGGCCTGAGCATATAAAAGGATCGTAAATTTTACAAGCAAATTAAGAACACTAGACTCAAGTTCAGAGAACTATTCGTCCTCTAGTCGACAACTATATATTTTGTATTCACAACTCAAGTTGGAGGTCTAAATTAAAAAGTAAATAACAACAAATATCTTAAATAATAATATCTAATTTGAAATATTCGTCCTCTAATCGACGACTCAAGTTTATAAAAATATTCGTCCTCTAGTCGACTTAACTAACTATATAATTATATTCACGAGTCACGACTCAAGTTGGAAGTCGAAAGTAGTAAAATACAAAAACTATCAAAATTAATAATAGATCTGAAATATTCGTCCTCTAGTCGACGACTCAAGTTCATAAAATATTCGTCCTCTAGTCGACGACTCAAGTCCATAAAATACTAGAGGACGAATATTTTATGAACTTGAGTTGATGACTTGAGTTCATAACTTGAGTCGACTTGAGTTCATGACCTGAGTTTATAACTCAAGTCAGTTTGGGTCGATTTTTTTCACCCAAAACTTGACTCAGTTTTCGACTCAGTCGACTCGACTCAGTCGATTAACAACACTATGTTCAACTATTAAAATGTAAATCCCTTTGTAGAAACTTAAAAATAATAGCGAAATTTCAAATAATCACACTAAAAATAAATTTTTTTTAAAGATATTAACTATTTTATATCTGTATATATAATATTTAATGATTTTTACTTTATGTATCTATTAAAATAATCATTAATTTAATAACCCCATTTGTTATATTTGGGCCATGGTAATTTTTGTAATTTAAGTTAGGGATTCGCTCAGTACAACTATAATGCTTGGTATAAGAATTAAACGTGAACAACAATTTATTTAGTAAAACAAATAATCAAGATTGAATTATATTTAAAAAAAGCGTGATGATTCAAAAAGTAATCTTTCGTATATTATTTTTCATATATATATATGTTTAATCAATTTAGTATATATTATTATTTAACAAAAAGAAAGTTAATATATAAATTTTTCATTATATTAACTTATAGCAGCAAACAATGTACAAAAAGATTAATATTTATTATATTACTACAGTAATGTTAATTAATCTAATCTTGAATTTTCAGAATCAGATGGATGATGTAATATCAACTTCCATGCTTACGCTAAACTATACTATAGGACTGAAATAGTGGCTGGTTAAAAAAATTCAAATATGATAAAGGAAACAGTTAATTAAAAAATAACTCATTTTTCTTAAAAAATTTAGATTAATATTTTTTATATTCAAATGAATAAAAATATTTTATAATTGAACGAACATAAAAAACAAATGCGTTCATCAAAAAAAACGCGTTCACGTTCAAAGTTTTAAAAATAAAAGGAAGGTTGTTCATCATTTTTTACAAAAAAACGGAACTTTGTTCACAAAACAACATTATTAAAAACCTTTCCCCAATCAATATTATCAATCCATTCTTTGATCCATTCCCATCCCATGACGATAGTATCTTTAACCATCCACAGAACTAACCTTTTAGATAATTACTGATAACCGCCTCTACTAATATTTTGCCGCATATGGTTATTAAAACTCCACCCATTTGTCTGATATAACACGCAATTTAGTTAAAGGTCTAAATGACCGATGTAATTTAAAATTGTGGAGACTGATTATGGATATCTCCGCATATTCTCCCGTTGAAGTTAATGCTGATATTTCCATCATTCCTACATTCTCATCTTCCTCCAATAACGCTTCATTAAATAACAACCTATTGAAAGATTTTACTAAAGTATGAATTTAAGGGAGCACTTACCCATAGACAGACTTCAATGAATATTATCCATAAACTCAATGAGAACAGTTTATTGATCATAAAGAGAGAATCCGAAGCATTTATTTTTTCACATGTTATCTTCCGTTTAAAAACATATATAATTATTTATTTTTTGAAGGAGAGGGGGGGGGGGGAGGAGTTAAAAAGATGAAACAATATAATTTTATAGAAATCATTATCTTTATTTAAAGTTTTATCATTTAAGATCCTTTTTTATAATTATAACTTTTATTTGGTTTGGGAAAGGTTAGATGAGTAAATATGTAACTAGTTATATAAAATAGTCATTTTGCTTTATGGGGAGAAGGGTGTTTAATAGGGTGACAAGTCGTGAATCTAAAATATATATACATCTTTTTGGAATATGTTAAAGAAAACTTAAGTTATTATAAATAAAAAGATTTTTACATTTATAAAATCGGCGCCACTACCGAATTAATTTACGGTATTTGATTTAGTTTTATATTATATTTATATTTAATACCTCAGACGGATTCTTGACATTCTTAAGAAAGTAGTTAAGAAGATTTCTTAAATTATCATTGGAATGAGGATTTTATCGTAATATTATAAATTTAATATCAAAATATTTTGTTAATTGATAAAATTTGTTATTGAATGATTTATTTTTTAAGATAAGTGGACTCATAAAAATTTAAATTTATTATATTAAATCATTGATTTTTTTTTTACTATTTTATATGAAAGGGAAAACCAGGGCTAGTCACAATTTTTGTTAAAATCATCATAGCTCCAAAAATAATGATCATAAGATCTTGCAAAATACCAATCTACACCTTAAATACTTACCTATAAATATACACTGTATTATTTAAATATTTAATAGTTCTTCGAAAAAAGTTTAAAATAATTTTTTGTACCTAGTAGCCCCAAACCCATGGCAAGTATGCGTCCAACCTTTATACATTCTGCATTGAAACCAATTTTCAAAATTATGAAAATTTTATAGTTCAGTTTACATATTATACAAACATCTGTTATTAATATCTTAACAATGTGTTTTCTTGATTTTTTATTCTGCTGTTTTAATAGAAGTAGCTTCTTAACCATGAAAAGTTTTACTTCATGACATTTCAATTTTAATATAATATCAGACCTAAATAAATATCTAACAAACTCAAATCTTATATATATTGTGATATATATAAATATGTATATTGTAAATGTGATATATATAAATATATATTGTGAATGTGATATATATAAATATATATTGTGAATGTGATATATATAAATATATATTGTGATTGACATATTATTTGATTTATTTAGATAATAATTATCATTTTATATATTAAATTTATAAAATATTATATTTAACTGTAATAGATGTTACTTTTCTTGATGACATATCATTTTCATACAATATTATTGCTTCTTTAGAATTTTTATATATATGAGTAGTACCATAATAATATTATAAAAATTAATGGATTGATTGCGCCGACCAGCAACGATTCTCTAACCCCAATGGTTGTAATATTACTAATATGATCTTATCTTAACATATGTTTAAGCCTTACATATCAATCTGAAACTTTCCGAAATTTTAAAATAGAGTTTTAACTTTCATATATTGTCCATTTTGTCATGTTTGTAATTTTCACATCAAAAACATGTCATAACAAATAAAAATTTAAATAACTAAATAATATAAATTATTTTATCATAGAATTCTATTTTAGAACAAATTTAATTTATAATCGTTACTTTTTAAAATGAAATCCGTTGAACCGATAAACCCCTTGCGTCAATTATCCCTGGCCTCTCCTATTACTAGTATTTAAAAATATATTTGGTTTTAATGTTATTATATAATTAATTACCTGATATATTGATTATAAAATAAATTAATAAATCATATGGAAAATACTAATAAAAATAATCAATAGTTATTAAAATTATGATTCAATTAAAAATATATATTAGCACATTTTAAAAAAGTATAAAAACTTAACTAGATCAAACTGATATTAATTTCTAACCCAGAACAAACTAACATAGATGTGTTCAAAATATCCTGAACAAAATAAAACATTTTTAATTTTAAGCTAAAATCGGCATTAATCTTTGTATATATTATTATATTTTTTTTTAAATTAAAAAAAATAATTATTCTAAAGCGCTAAAATTTTATACGATTTTCCTCAAATGTTTTTCTCAGCGCCAATTTCGATAGAAGACAAGCATACACTTTTCCTTAAATTATTGTAATCACTTTATTACTTTTCTTTTTATAACATAATTTATTCATCTCGTTCATGTTAAAGTCCTATAGACTTAATTCATAAAAGCTCCAACGTATCTAATATCTCAGTGACCGAAACTCTATTTACCTTCCAAACTGTTAAAGAAGATGAATCAATTATAACCGAGTACAAGCGTGATCGCCCAGCATTAATTATAAGCAGCTCTAGTTGGACAGGTATTTTGATAAACCTATATTTGCAAATAATTTTAAAAAAATGCTAGTGTCCATTCATTTATTAACTCTAAAATATCTTACTAATTAATCTAATATATTATAATTATATTTAAATAACGTTTATACATTCGATTAGAGGACGAAGATTTTTCATATTTAATACATGCTATGGATATGTACGAGCTAAAATTAAAATCGGTTCAAACCAATGTTCCATCATCTTCTAACAGTTATCCTATGATTGTATGCGTTTTAACTGGCAGGGGTCCTCTCCGAGAATACTACGAATCTATGATAACAAACAAAAATTACGAATTTATTACATTTCGTTTTATATGGTTAGATTCATCGGATTACCTCACACTTTTAAGTAATTTATAAGGCTACTTTCAAACTCTAGTAAATTACTCAAACTATGGATCAAGTAGAATGAGGAAATTTATTATATGTAAAATAAGTGTAAAAAAGTTTTCAAATAACAATTTCTGCACCTAAAAAATTTGAATAAATAAATCAGTTAAGATAATTGTATCTTAATACATTAGGAGCAAAACATCAAGTTTGAACCTAACCTAATATAAAATAATTCAATTAATTCAAATTTTAAAAAACGAAAGCCTCCTCCGATTTAGGGGTATGCTTACATAACTCTTCGAGTGGTCTAGATTTACCGATGAAGATTTTAGATATGTACGGTTGCAATTTACCCGTCTTAGCTTATTATTACCCAACTATATTGGAATTAGTTACACCTGGAGAAAATGGAATGTTATTTACTAATAAAGAGGACCTTTTTGTTCAATTAACCGTTTTAGACATATATATTTACTTTAAATCAAATTTAAAATTACTATTTTAGGATTTATTACGGGGATTTCCTAATGCATCAACAAAACTTAAATGGCTTAAAAAGTATATTGAATCCAATAAAACTTATTGGGCTGATAACTGGAATGAAGTTGTGATTCCTCTTTTGTCGGATAAAGGTGATGATCAATCTTGTGAAAAAGAAGAATAATAAATAGATCTTATATCATTAATGCATTAATTATTGGAATATATTAATTCAATAGAAAACTATATATTGTTCACTATTTTTATCATATTGAAAGTACAATATATAGTATATTTTTATATTTAAATAAATTTATATATCTATTCTTAAGGATTCTTATTTTTTGAAGCTAATTTTGTCTTGCCAAACAATATGCCCTTTTATCTCCGATATTCTTAAGGATCCTACCATTTTTAAAGCTAACCATTTTTTGGAGCCACAATAAGCCTTTTTATCTCTGATGTCATACAGTAGCGTCACTAGGGAGGGGAGCGCAGGGGCTTGAGCCCCCTGAAAAATTTGAATAACCTCCTGAAGCAAAAAATTTTTTTTAATAGCTCCTTAATATCCTCTTGAACTAAAAATAAATTGTTTGATTGCCCCCTGAACGATTTTTTTATAATTCTATTACGTAATATATTATAGATTTAATTTTATTATTTAAAAATTAATAAGACTATCTAAATTTTTATTAAATGAATACTATTTTTATTATTAAATTAGATTAATACATATAAGTTAATATATTTTCACTATGTCAGCTTGCAAGCAAATTCTATGTTAAGAATAGAATATCAATATCACTCACTAAATATTAATTTAGCATTAACAGTTGAAGCTTAATTGACTTTTACTATTTAAATTATTATATAACCCTAATTAAATAAATATAAACATTTATTAATTTAAAATAACAAATTTCATATTGTAATTAGCCTAGTTCAAAATCACTAATCAGCAGGCGCGTACGCGGGAATTTGGTCTGGGGGGGGGGGGATAAAATTTTTTAAGAAATATTATTTTTAATTAAAAATACTAAACACAAATTTATTAGGACTAATAACTTTTCTAATACACAATTTTAAATTAATGTGAATTATAAAAAAAATTATATATATAAACCAGCATTGAAAAACTATAAAATAAATGTCAATTATAAAATGATATAACCAAGATATGAATCACTTAAATGACCCAAAATTAAAATTTGAATTTTTTGAGCCTTTAAAATATATAAAGTATAAAAAATTTAAATGTTGGAAATAAAACACAAAAAGTTTCTTAGGAATAATTATATTTTGTATGTTTTGAGCTAATTTTTCAATTATCTATATGCCTATGAATATTCAAAAGATCCAAATCATTCAATCTACTTTCAGAAGTTGTATTTCATAGGTATGTTTTTCAGAGACTTGCAGGACCAGCCCCCTTGCCAGACGGTGTTTTAATTTTTTTAAATTCAAAAAAGCCAGGTCGGGCCTGAAAATTTTTTTAAAATAAACCTATCCCGACAAAAATTTAAAAAAAAAATCTGGACCGTGCCCTGCAAATGGTACCTTTGCATGGCTCTGTTATTTTTCTTAAAAAAGAGAAGGTTCTCATTAGTTTATTAATGGGAAGAGTTGCTATTTGCTAATATATATAATCATTTTAATACATTGGGAATAAAATCTAAAATGTGTTTGTAATGCAACGCATCCATAGCATTTTTGGGGACTGTATCAACCTTAGTTAATCTTTTAATCATAGTTATTCAGCTAATAAGGCATCTTAAGATATTTTAACATCTCCATGATAAAAATCTAGCAAATATTTTTTTTATTTTCTATCACCATCTGAAAAAGGTTGGAAAGGCTTTTGTGGAAGTAATATCTGCGAATTTGTAAGTGCTGCATGATTAATTAAAAACCATTCATTTATTTGGGTTATAAATGTATCTAAGAGAGGGGACATTTGTTTTTTAATACTCTTCTACTGATCCTATATTAATGTTTTGACGATGAGCTTGCTTGCTGCAAGTCGAGTGGAACAAATATTAAACACGTATAGCTCTGATTTTGACTCAACAATAACATATAAAATATGAAATTCTTCATCAACATTAGCTCTAATTTCCTTGAGTTCTAATAAAATGCTCTCTGCTATTCATTTCTTCTTAATCAAGTCAATGTCATGTTTTTGAAAAGTGTTACATAAAATAGTTGTATAATTAAATAATACATTCTAATGAGAAAAATATTTTGAAATAGGTATTGAATCCAATACTTGCTTCTGGGGAAATATTTTTTTCAAGCCATTTCAGTAATAGTATTAATAATCGGCTCTTCTAACTCCATAAAAGCTGTTACTAGTGGAGACGATCTCGTTGGACAAACTTGCAATTTCTTTCTCCCTGTTGGACAAGGAGTTTCAGAGATAATTATTATTAGACTATAATTTAGATAAATAATACGCCACTAAAATTTGAAAATAATAGGTAAATTACCACAAGGAAAACTTGAAATCGAAATTAATTGATAAAATAACTAGTAGATGAATGTGATAAATAAATATAATTAAATATATATGTGAGATAGGAATAAATGTTAACAAATGTAAATTAATATTAACAATAAAATTTTTGAAAAATATAATCTGGCATCTGCATTTTTTGGCTTGCCCCCCCCCCCTCCCGCTGCGTACACGCCTGCTAATCAGCTATATTCTTTTATAAATTTAACTACCATGACTCTTTCTAAAAATATTTTCAAGGTTCAAATAAGTATAGTAGATTTCTTTATAAAAACGTAGACATATAGTTTATAATTCTTTAGTATATAATTTGTTATAAAATATTAGGTAAAATGTCACTTTTGCAGACGTATTTGACAGTTATATAATATATTACAGATAAATTTTACTAATAAATGCTTTTGATAAAAAATATAATAATAAGTAACAATTTGCATTCAATTCTTTAACGTCATCTATTTAAATTTGAAAATATTATTAAAGATTAAACATCTTGTTATTCATCCCACAATGGATATAATTAATTAGATATCTTTTCTTCTCTTTTTTTACATGTTTTTAGGAAAGCTATTTTTTTCTTATTTGAAAAAAGGTTTCGAGTTAAATTTTTTATACGAGTATATTTTTGATATTATTACATTTTAAGATATAATTTAACAACTTGAGGTGATGAGACAATAATATATAAAATCTTAATTGCTTCATCATATCACTCTGTTTAAAATGTTTCATTTCTAATATGGCATCCTTGCGGTGTAAATAACTTAAGGTTTCAATATATTTACATAATTTCTTATAAAGATTTTTAGTGTTTTTGTTTTATCAATTCATTTAACATAATAAATTCTATGGGTTAACATCATGTTTATGACTGCAAATTAACCACAATTTGTGTGGCAATGTAAATTAAGATTATTACTACAGCTGCTGAGAGCATATGATTGCATATTTTAGATAAGCAATAATGGTCAAATGTGTAGTCTTTTATAAATTTTTAAAAATGAAAGATAATATTTTAAAAATTTAATATCTCACAATAATTTTCTCAATAACTTATCTAGCTATCATATCATATAAGAATAGGCTCTAACCACCATAGAGTTTTATGATTTAGATTGGTCGTTTATAATCTCTTCTTCAAGAATTTATAATTTGGTTAGCCTATAAATTTTTCCTTATTAGTCCATTCTATAAAACATTGTCTAAAATGGTAGCAGAGAGTTATTTTAGTTTAATGACAATGTAAGTTGCTAAGAGTTATATTATTATATGGGTTTTTAAAAACCATTATCAATTGAGGCATATGTATGAATTAATTAACATTTTTTTTATCACTTGTAATTCTTTATATGCAAATAATTTTATATCAGCAATCGAAAATATTTTATACTGTAACAAATAGATTTTGTATTAAAAGATATTATTTTTAGAAATGTCTTGTATTGTTTTAATTATTTATATGCCTGTTTATTTTGTATGCATAAATAATAAATGACAAAATATGAAATTCAGAATAATTGTTCATAGTGAGCAAAATTTAAAAAAGTATAATATATTAATATAAAACCTAGCCGAAGGCCCGCATGTTAGAGAGTATGGGGTAGTGTTGTTAAACGGCTAATTTTGAGCCGATTTTTTAAAACGGCTAACTCAATATTTTAGCCAGAAAAATATTGCCTAAGCCTCGAGATTTCGACAATATATGCCTAGACCTTTGTTCCTTCTATGGGCAAAATCTTCAAACTTGCGTAATATTTTTCTGGAAAAAATATAGATGAGCCGTTTTTAAAAATCGGCTCAAAACGAGCCATTTAACAACACTAATATGGAGGGCTTTGTGTTAAATTTCGTCAATGTTAAATTTATTTTATTTTTCTAACGTATAACTTTATTTTTCATTTTCATCTTTATTTCTATAATAATCCAACAACTATAATAATCAAAATAATTGTTCTTATATATTTTTTGAAAAAATGTAAAAATTGGAAAAAATTGATAAATATATTAAAATAAAAATAAATACAATTCCGAGAATCGATCAAAAATAGTAACAATTCAAAAAAAATCGATAAAAAAATAAAAATAATAACAATTCTAAATATCGATAAATGACATCAATTCCGAGAATAATAATTCATAACACTTTACACCTCATAAAAATTTTTTAGTTGAGCCCCCTGAGATTGTAAAGGCTAGTGACGCCCCTGATATCATACTATGTATGTAACAGTAAGTTTAGCTCTTCCTCCTCATTCTTCTACAGGTGTAATAGATTGCTTTCTTTCCAGATATTTGGAACACATAATCATATCCTCCATAAAATATACAATCTTTATTTTGTTTAGTTTTCTTAAAAAATAAATTATTATATGTAAATTAAATGATATATACTTTAATTTCTAAATATATAAGCTTTGATATTTGTTCTGATTTCTCTCTAACCTCTTGAATCTTCATAGTTACTTCAATTAACTAACAATATCTTTATCTATTAAATTAACTAACAATATATTATAGGAATCTATTAAATTAACTAACAATATATTTGGGAATCTATTTAATTAACTAACAATATATTTGGGAATCTATTAAATTAACTAACAATATATTTGGGAATCTATTAAATTAACTAACAATATATTTGGAAATCTATTAAATTAACTAACAATATATTTGGGAATTTATAAAATTAATTAACTTTGGGAATCTATTGGAAATTTTGGGAATCAATTGGAAATTTTTTAGGTTTTAGCAATATGACAAAACACCTATTAAAAAAATACGAACTAGAGGGACGATACCGTTTAATCCATAATATTTATTATGATTGGCATCAAAAACTTGTTCACATCACTTTTTTGATTATTGCATCTATTCAAATTGACCACATGGTAGTTTTTGAAGTAGTTTACACGTTTACTACATATTTATATAGACTAGCATAAGAGTATTAGTAACAGGTGCAGCTGGTCAAATAGCGTATTCACTATTGTATTCAATTGCTAAAGGGGATGTTTTTGGATCGAATCAAACCCTCGATTTAGTAATGCTTGATATTAAACCTATGATGAGTGTCCTGAATGGAGTTTTAATGGAATTACAAGATTGTGCTTTTCCTAATATTAAAGGTATTAAGCCATTAAGTTGAATTGTTAATTTTTATTAATTTATATCTAATATATGAAGGGATAGCCATAATTTTACTAGGAGGGAAGGCAGTTTTTCCCCATAAATTTTACCTTTGGCTATGTTACATTTTTATCAAAACAATATTTATTTGTCACTTTTTTAAAATACTTATTTCGGAAAATTTATATTTAATCTTATTTTGAAAAATTATTACCTTTTGCTAAATTTTCTTTCAAATTATTGTTTATATATATTATATAAATTCTATAACATGAGTGTTGGGTGTATAAGGTGAATTTCTTATTAGCGTAAAATGATATTTACAAAAACAAGCACATTTCTGTACCACACCCCTCTTACACCTATGATATTATATATTGATTAGCTGATCATTTTCATTTAAAATATGCACATTGAAGTACTGCTATAATTATTCCTTTAAAAAATTATTTTTAGAGTTGATAGCTACTGATTTGGAAGAAGCAGCATTTAAAGATATTGATGTAGCCTTTCTTGTAGGATCTATGCCAAGAAAAGAAGGGATGGAAAGAAAAGAATTGTTAAAAATAAATGGCAAAATTTTTCAATCACAAGGTGTAGCATTAGATAAATATGCAAAAAAAAATGTTAAGGTTAGTTTTATTATATAAAGTTATATATTAAAATTTGTTAATTACACTATAGATATTAGTAGTTGGTAATCCAGCAAACACTAATGCTATGATATGTGCAAAGTTTGCTCCTTCAATACCTAAGGAAAATTTTACAGCAATGACACGTCTTGATCAAAATAGAGCTACTGCATTTGTATCTGGCAAACTTAATATCCTGGCTTCTCAAGTTAAAAATGTTGTAATTTGGGGAAATCACTCCTCAACTCAGTACCCTTGTATTGATTCGGCAGAAATATTATTAGGTGAAGCCTATCAACCTGCTAGAGAGGCATTGAAAGATCAATCAAATTGGATTGAGAATGATTTTATTAAGGTATAATTTATGAATTGGTTTTTAATATTATTGTAATTTTAGAATCATAGAAAATAATTCTCCTAATAATATTTTAAAAATATATTGCAAATAAACCTCCCACTCAGAAAAAAATGAGGGGTTTTCCCATAAAAAATTATCTTCCACTATTTAATTAAATTTTATCATACTTTGTAAATACATTTAAAGTTTAATTATTTATTTTATAACTTGAAATAGTTGGTTCAACAAAGAGGTGCAGCTATTATTAGTGCAAGAAAATTATCAAGTGCAATGTCTGCTGCCAAGGCAGCTTGTGATCACATGAGAGATTGGTGGTTTGGAACTAAAAAGGTAGCACAAAATAAAATACTATATATTTTTTAAACTATTTTTATTGATTCAATCTCAAGGGGGTAATAGTGTCAATGGCTGTATTGTCAGATGGTGATCATTATTCTATACCCAAAGGAATATGTTACAGTTTCCCTGTGACAATAGATGAAAATAAACATTGGAAAATAGTTGATGGGTTGCCTATAACAGAATTTTCTCATGGTAAAATGGATTTGTCTGCTAAAGAGCTTATGGAAGAAAGAAATGATGCTTTGTCTTTTATTAAAGATTGATAACTTTTAATAAAACTCAAAATTAATGATTGCACTTATACATAAATTATATTTTGCTGTGGTTCTGATAATTGTGATTAGGTGTCAAAGAAACAATCATTAAAACATTTTATTTAAATATTTAATAAATATATTTGATTAAAATTATATTTAAAAAAAATATTTTTCTTTTTTTATCCCATTGAATAAATGTTATAGAAATAACTTTGCTTACATAACATTTTTCAATCTGAACATTGAAAATAATTTTTTTATAAGATTTGGTTTATGAAATAAATAAACTAGTTTGAACCTTCAAAAACTGGTTCAAACCTTTTGTCACAAACTTTTTGAATTAGTACATTTAATAAAAAAAAATCATTATTATTTAAAATAATATTGAGTTATAGACAATTAAAATATTTTCAAGATTCTCTTTTGTCAAATTATGGGATAAAGAATAAATTTTATGATTGAGAATAGTGTTGTTAATTAGATTTAGTCTACAAAAACGACTAAATTAGCTGACTAAGTTGATCTATTTAGTCGACCCATTTAGTCTACTTGCTTAATCGACTAATTTACTCGACTAATTTACTCGACTAAATCAAATTTTTGAGCCTACCTGGCCACTTAATTTGTCTAGTTCTTCCAACTACTTGGGATATCAGAGAAAATAAACCATAGAAAAGTCACAAATATCGTATTCGTTATTTTTAATTTTTTTGTTTTCTTAATTTTTTTGGATCAAATGGGCAAAAATATACATGTTAAATTAAAATTTAAATTAGGATGTACCATAGAAAAGTGATAATTGTCATAATCGTTATTTGTGAACTATTTTGAATTTTTTTAAAAAAAATGGGTAAAAATATTTATTGTAAACATGTTAAGTTAAAATTTCAGTGAATACCATAGAAAAGTGACAATTGTAATAATATTTATTTTTCAATTTTTTTGATTTTTTAAAAGCAAACTTGGTAAATATATATTGTAAACATGTTAAATTAAAATTTCAGTGAAGATAAAAGTGACAATTGTATAATCGTTATTTTTGAACTTTTTTGAATTTTTTCAAAGCAAATAGGTAAAAATATTTATTGTAAACATGTTAAGTTAAAATTTCAGTGAATAAGAAATGTGACAATTGTCATACATAATATTTATTTTTTGAACTTTTTTGAAGCACACTGGTAAAGTATATATGGTATTGTAAACATGTTAAATTAAAATTTCAGTGAAGATGTACCATAGAAAAGTGTTGGGCGGGCTAGCTAAATATTAAAAATTGCAAGCGGACCGGTTAAAAAGTATTTACTTTTATTTGTTATTTATTAAAAAATATTCATAAAATTTTAACATTTTTAATACCAAAGTACAGATAACTGTTGAGGATGTTATCGTTGGGAAAAGCTAACGAGATTAAAAAAAGTTCTTAGATTTGATTTGCATGGAAGAATATAACATCGACGTGAATAAAAATATGATTTCACCCGTTTTCCCAAAAGCAAAGAAAATTAAATTTTAAATGCAATGTTTAAAATGGGTAGTATCCATGTCAAGATTAAATCACAACAGAAGGGGGAGAGCACACTTTAATTACATAACATTTAAATTTGAAAGTAAGAAGATTGATTTGTAAATCTAAAATTATACGTATAAATAAATTTCTTGATTTAAAAACTATTTAAATTTTAAAAAAGGATTAAGTTTTGTTAATTGGTTAGTTGTGTAACCCACAAGTCCGGAGTTGGGGTCTAAAACTTGACTAAACCTGCTCTGATCACGAGACCCGGGGTTCACACCTTTAATCGCCATACCTAAAAAAATGCGAACATGTATTTTCTTTGAAAAATATTACAAAACGTTACTAAATTTGTTATTATTTAAGTATTTAAGAATAAATGGGGGGGGGGGGGGGGGTTAACTAAACTTCTTTTCACAAAATCAATTTTCATAATTCTCCCTCAAAAAAAAATTTTCACTAATTTTTTCTCGCAATTGATCATACATACTAGAGGTCTGAATTGGGGGGGTTTTTGGACCAAAAGCCCGACCACTCAATGTTTTTAAAAAATTTTAACCCGCTCGCCCAGCCCGCCCATAGTTTTCAGAAAAATATCTAAAATTCCTTACCTGCTCGCCCGCCCATTAGTTAAAATTTTTTACCCTCCCGCCCATTATTTTTTAACCCAAGTCCGCTTATAAAATTTAATTATGGCCATTCTTTTAATTATTTAAGCATTTAATTAAATTATTTTAGCATTATACCTCTACAAAAAGTTTATAATTTAGGCAATAAATTTAATTAAAAAAATAATCAATTTAAATTATGGACAATTTATTTGATCAAATAGAATATTTATGTAAAAAATATAAATATAAAATTGATATTATATATAATTATAATGCAGAAATAATAATTAATCGACATTTTTCTGGATTCAAACACGTTCTTTGTTCTGAAAACCTTCCAGCAATGCTAAATCCTCGCTCAAGTGCCATATTTTTCTTGCTATTTTTGATAGCTTTGGCAAATCTCTTGTCGTTTCCACCAAAGTAGGATATCCGTTTGAAGTATATCCTCTTCCTCAAGTGAGATCCGGATGTCCCGTATGCAATATATGCAAAACTCTTATTTGAAGTGAGTACTAAATGATTAATCTGCCATTCCAAAATAAAACACCATGCTATTTTTGTAATCATTTTCATGCTATTCAGAATAGTAACAGAACAAAAACTATACAGTTTTATAAACCGGACCTCGAGTTAATATTAGAAACAGATGCACCTAACCAAGGATTTGGAGCTGTACTCATGCAAAAATATGATAATGGTAACGAATTTCCAATAGCTTACGCCTCAAGAATTTTACAAGACGCTGAAAAGAATTATTCTAAAATAGACAAAGAAGCAAAAGCAATAATAAACGGCGTAGAAAAATTTCATAACTATTTGTATGGACCAAAATTTAAAATACGAACAGACCACAAACCTGGTAATAGCAGAGATTTAAGCTCATTAACAAACCAAAGATTATTACGTTGGGCTTATAAATTATCTGCATAAGATTATGATATAATGTACAAGAATGGTGCTAATAATATAATTGAAGATGCTTTATAGCGAAACCCATTAGAGAAAAATGATGATATAATAACAAGCGAAAATAAAACAGTAAAAAATATAAGAAATCTTACTTATGACACATTAACTTTATCAAGAAAAAAACTTAGAGGAAACCGCAAAAGATCCAATTTTAAGAAAGTAAAAAATATTAATAAATGGTACAAATTTACAAAATCAAGCACCAGAATTACAAGCTTTTAGAACAAGAATAGATGAAATAGAAAATGATGACGGTATTTTATTTTGGAATGGCAGATTAATCATTCCGTACTCATTTCAAAAAAGAGTTTTACATATATTGCATACGGGACATCTGGGTATTAAATCATGAAATCCATTACGAGACATTATATATATATGGGAAGAATTAGATAAAGATGTAGAAAAACTAGTAAAGTGTTCTACACTTAAAAAAACGATTGATACTATAAAAAAAGAAATATTAATATTGATCATTAAATTAATTATGATTTTTCTTTAGTTTGTTTTTGAACAAAAATTTTTAATTTCTTAACCCACCCACCCTCCCATAGTTTCAAATTTTTTAACCCGCCCGCCTGCCCATTCTCGAAATTGCCGAATTTTTGAAAAAAAAATCCGGGCCGGGCTGTAAATAGTGAAAAATCCAAAGACATAGTTTTCCATATATTGGTTAATATATCAGATTCGGGATTATCAATAAATTCCATGTCAGCTTTCTGATCTGATAATGCCACAGTGAATTTGGAAAAAACCAGAGTGTATATACAGAATTGAGTCAGTACAATGTTGGTTGCGATATGTTCCTAATACCCGCCATCGATGGAATCTTAAAATTTTATAAACCTTTAACAAAATATTTCTTAAATAAAGATTAAAAAGCTGTCCTAACATTTTGAAAAATTTTTCAATAATGAATGCAGAGGTATATTTAGGATTGATTTCACATGTAGGAAATCTACTACATGCTGTTAATGTGCAGTTGCAATTAGAAGAATCTTAGCAAAGATTCACAAAATTATGCTGCAGATGTGTTCACCTTTACAGTTAAAATTGACAATAAATTTTATGGCGCCATTGATAAAACTATATTAAAATGTTCAAATATTTTAAAAATACCTATAGACATTGATGTCTTGTTTGAGGAGATTGTAATGCTCTCTATTTTTACTATGTAAAAAATATATTTATATTATAATAAGATTTTATAAAATATAAAAAAAATATGGAAAATTAAATAGTTATAATGTTAATTATATTTTATTTAAGATTTAAATAATGGAACTAAACGTTTACCGTCGTTATTTGAGATATTTCTAAAATTCCTGGATAAATTTGTTTAACCATTAGCTCGGCCTCTAATGTTGTTAAAGCAATTTGATTTCTCTCCTTTTTCCAGGCAGTCCTCATCTAAAAATGCGCTCGGATGAAGCATTAGAATGAGGTAAAGAGAAGACATATCGTATATTTTTTCCAAGCATTTATTGTTATTACGAAAAAACTCAACCCATTTCTCCTTTGCTTTTAGACCATCTAACTTTAAGTATTCAGGCTAATCATAAAAAATAGAGAGTATTACAATCTCCTCAAACAAGACATCAATGTGTTTTGGTATTTTTATATATTTATTAAATTACAAAAACCATAAATTGATGGTTTCTGTTCCAAGGTCATAATATTTATTAAAATCAAATTTTGATTGTAAATATTCTAAAATTAATAAAAATATCTGATTCATTTAAAAATGTAAAATTAGATTATTATTTGAACATTTTAATATAATATTTTTAGCAATACGCCATAAAATTTATTATCAATTTTTAACTGTAGAGATGAACAGAGCTGTAGCATGATTTTGTGAACCTTTTTTAATAAAAAATTTTCTGATTGCAAGTAGATTTCCTACATGTGAAACGAATCCCAAATATGCTTCTGCCATTTCATACTCGAAAAAATTTTTCAAAATTTTAGGACAGCTTTTAAAATCTTTATTTAAGAAAAGTATTTTTTTAAGGGTTTGTAAAATTTTAAAATTTTATCGATGCAGGTATTAATGATAACCACCTGATAGGTATATATCGCAACAAC